TAAAAGCACTCTGTGGAAGTGAGATGAAATCCCATTTAAGCTTATCATGATGACTTTAATGAAGAGAATGATTGTTTCCCCGACTCTTTTCTACTGAGCTCTCTAGTAACATTGCGTTTCCATGGAGGAACTAAGTTGTGGACTTCTATTATCCTGTGTCTGCAGATGCCTGTCCTAGTTATGTGCTGTTTCTGTGGTTTTGACTGGTAGCATGCATTTTGGCAAGCTTAGTCTCTCACTTCAATGACAAAGGGCCTAATTCTTTTTTGAAAGTAAAATCTGTCAGTCCAAATAGTATCAGTTATGTCTTTCAGCAAGAGTTAAGTTTTCAGATCCCTCTCCTTTCCTTAGCATTTTTTTGGGGGCACTTAAAAAATTTAGCTCAATGTGCCAAACATGTAAGCAGGTTTGTATGTAATTGTGGCTATTGCATCTGTAATCCTCTTTAAGAATTTGCATTAACTTCCAAGTGGTGCTTAAGTTCCAAAGAGCAGTTAGAGAGAGAGATTTCAGCTCACAAAATGAATAAGAGCTGCTGAAAGCCCCATTAGACATTTCCTGGCATCTGTTAAAAAACACAAAGTGAAGTGCTTCAGTATACCTTGTAAAGCTGTTATCATAGACGGGCAGATCACACTCTGGGTTTTCCAGTTCATCGCATGAAATTGTAAATCCGTCATCTAGGATTGCCAGTAAAGGATGGGCTGTGTCCTCATTAAGGTAGAAGCAGGTGCCTGCAAGAGAAAATGCCTGAAGATAACTCCAGAAACTTCTTATAGCATCAGGATTTACAGCAAGGGTGTGGTGAAATGTTTTTTTGGATCCCCAAAAAGATTTACCAGTGCTCCGGGAGGAATCTGTGGCTGACACTGAGAGGACAAGATTGTCTATTTGAAATTTTTCTAATAATTGGTGTTTTACATCTTAACAATGTTTAGTTTCAGCCTTACGAAAAGCAGGGGGCTTAACCTGGTTTTGAACCCTACCAGGGCTCAAAGCAGCAGGCATTGCACAGGAAGTGGCTATTCAGAGATGCGATGGACTGTCTGGTTTCAAGTGATTTTCCTCAGAGCTGAAGTGATCTGGTTTTAATCACTGAAAGGAGAAAGGGGGCTTAAAGGCCTCTCCGTGGCTTCACTCTTCCACATAAATGCAGGGCAGAGTTTGAAGATAAGGGATCCCTTGTCAGATCAGCCCTCAGAGAGGTAAGTCCAGCCCAGGGTAAAAGTGCCTCTGCCTTTCCTCCTGCGGAGACTTCCCAAAGCCGACCTGACACTGCGCTCGGATGAGCAGCCATGTCCATCACAGCTGCTGTTTGTGGTTGGTGCTTGTGTATCCACCTCAGAAAGGACCAAAGGTCATTCACAGTGTTGGAGGAGGGTTCTTGCAGTTGACAGATCAATTTGCATCAGCTGTTTGCATAATGTAGACTCAGAGAAGATAAATCTCCCCATGCTAATCCCAAATGAAATCATTATAATCAAACTGCAAGTTACTTCAATGCAAATACAATACAAACAATGGCAGGGCAATTACAGGCATGTGCTGCTGAAAACAAACACATGCTGTGCAAACAGAATGGGCAATTTCAAATATTGAGTTTGATTTAAGCAGTTGGAATGCACACAAATGATGGTAACATAATGACAGTCTTCCTCTCTAGGGATTTGAGGATGAGGATTTCTTTTCTGTGGTGTCACTGATGTGTAGCAGATAGGGGTTTTAGTGAAATGTAACCTTTCAGTTAATGGCTGTGTGGTCAGCTTGCTGAATAAATGCAATTTGCAAATCTCTCACAGAAGGTAAGAGCAAGGTGTGAATACATCTGAGTGATGTGGGAGGTTTGAGACAAACTAGTGAAGTTGCAGTGTCATTTCAGCATTGATGAAGGTGAAAACAGGTGTGTGCCTCTAAGTCATCAAAATGAGCTTTAATTAGATGTTTGGAAGGGGAAAGGGCTTCCAACTTCCCTTTGGGGTAGGTTAATCCTTGTGCAGTGTGGCACTGGGAGCAGCTGTTAATGCTGTGTCAGTTGCCAAAAGCAAAGCTTCCAGCTGAAAGCTGGACTGCCTTTTTCCTAATAAATATAAAAGAACCACCCCTTGGAGCTTCCCCAGCCAAGCTGGAGATGTTCTAATGAATACAGAGGAAGATTTTGCATACCCAAATGACTCTGGAAAGTGCTGTCTCAGCCATACTTTCCAACAGTAGCATCATTACAAGGAAATCTCTGAAGTAAAGTAAAATCACACTACAACTTTCCTCATTGGTGTGTCAGTACTTGGCAAGCTGGTGATATCTGGGGGCGTTGGATTGATACTGTCTTTTAAAATGTTTAAAAATTAGTAACTTTCAAGTATCAAATGTACTGGACAGAAATATTTTTTAAATTACAGAGCTAAAGCAATGCACTTACTGTTACAAAAAGTTGGTTTTTTTATTCCTCAAAGGTTACCAGGTGTGTCTAATTAGATGTAAGAGATTAAAACCTGATCCAGAGGCTATTGAAACCAGCAGGAATCTTTCTGTTGAGATAATAGATGCAACAATAAGCTGCTGGAGTTGTTCTGAGCTGTACAGTACCTGTGGTGTGTATCAGGACAGGTTCACTTCTTTCACTGGAGCCACCTAGGTTTTGGGCTCTAACACAGATGTGATACCTTTGTGTTGGTTGGAGGTGAATTAGGACTTCACAGTTAGGAATCCCAACAATAGATCTACAGAAAATAAATCCATGGAAAATTATAGGGTAGAAAACAAAGGTAGGCCTTTGAGATTATTTTTCTGAACAACAAAGAAGAAATTATATGATCAGGTTCTTTTGTAACCCATCAACACTCTACCTTGTACAGTAACAGGGCCAAGAGACCTGCAAGTCTGTGACAGGAGCAGGTGCTTCTGCTCTATTCCCATACCAATGCTCATTCCCATATAGTAATTTTTTATTAACATTTATACAATTAATTTTACTAAGAGGAATGTTTATACAGGTAAATTCACAAAAGGGTCACGGGACTCAAAGAAACAGTAACTCACTCAGTAATAGTATCATCGTTTTGTTCATCTGTCAGCTTGTACAGTTCAACCGTGTAGGAATCGACAGGGTTAATGTCTCCAGATTCCCAGCACACCAGTGCTGCATTTTCACAGCTTCGGATCTTTTTGCTCTTTATGATAGGTGGTGAAGGAGCTAAAAGGTAGGCAAAAGAACAATTCTAAGTTGTTGCTTGAAGATGTTTGCAACAAACATGCTTTGAAGACATAAAAAAATAGAATGAAGTTGTTTACTAATACTATATAGTTAAAGAAACCTGCTTCCCAATGGACAACAAACAGCAGGCAGGGCAATTAACAATAGCATTTAAATACTTAATTTGGACTATAAATGTCCCAAGAGAATTACACAGTGTAGTAACATAGAGAATAATTACACAACAGTTTTCTTTCTATCGTTAGTTTTATCTTTGTCATAAAAACGCATCTCTTCTCTGCTCTAAGATGTCAAACACATCTGGAACCAGTACTTGAAGGTCTTACTCTGGCTTGCTCGATCTGATGTCTGGATTTCACACAATGTGTTTGACTGAACTGCTGTTACAAAGGACAGCATAGTATGGGAATCTGCAAAATACCTATAGGCCAATAAAAGGAGAGCTGACATCCATCTGACAGAACTGGGAGACTTGAGCCTTATTGGCAGGTGCTCTACATCCTTGCATTTAAAGAAATTATTTTGTCTTTCTGATTCTCTTTCTTCAACTCTAAAGCAGGGACAACTGGCCTGATAGGCTGTCCAAGTGAAAGCAGGGAATTCTCATGCAATCAGTAGGCTTACATCAGAAGAAACAAAGTGCCCAAAAAGCATTACTGGCATAAAATTCAGAGATGACTGTGAATTTCACTAGGAAGGTCCCATAGTCGTATGAATAAAATATTTTTACCTGTCACATAAACTGCTCTTTCACTTGGTGGACTGATACCAGAGGCATTTAAAGCACTGACCCAAAATTCATACTGTGTATTCGGCAACAGATTAGTAATGGTGCAGTATGTTTCTTTGACTTTTAGGGTATGCTCTGAAACGAAAACAACGAAGCATTTACAGTGCTTTTTTACACAGTTACCCACTCTTCCCCCAAGCTGCCTCAAACAGTGGACTTGAGGCATGTTGTTTTGTGTGCTGAGTTCAAGAGAGGTCCTTGTGTTCCACACCCTTTGATTAGCTGTCAGGCAGTTTCAGCGTGCCTTCCTCTAAAGAGGCATAAATCAGATAACACATCAGCTTCTGAAGAAGCTACATCACTCAGAATCCAAAATCCAGAAAGAAAGATCACCCACCTGTCACTAATTTTTTTTTTCCCAAAAGACCCTGCATGTTCCTACTGCAGGGATACTGCTCAGCTCATCCTAGTGGAGGGACAAGAGCTACCCAGTTCTCATTCTTCATCTTAGAAAATTTGCATAGTTTATGCTTTTCTTTCTGAACTAACCAGCTTCCACCTCTACTGGCTTCCACTTTTGCAGGTTCTGCAAGAATCTTATTAGCAAAAGCAGCTTTGTCACAAGAGTGGGACATTTTAGGATGGTTCTGTGGTTCTTTTCTTTTTTTGTGCATGTGCATCATAGGGAGTTACAGCCTATTATTAGCACTGAGAGAAACTGTAAAATCACTAAGGGGATTTCAGTGGGTGTGCCGATAATGTGATGATTTGGTCTCTAAAAATACTGTGCTTTGCACTGGATGCAGCACATGTGTGCTTAATTCAGTGCCCACCCTCCAGGAAAGGAAATGCTACTGTTGAGACCCGACTCCATCCATTGTCCCCTTCCCATTTCTGCTATCCCTGCTTCTGCCCTCTCCTGTCTTTGCTGCTGTGATGGGTCCTGCTGCAGCCAGCAGCATGGCAGACCTGGCAGGGGAAGAGGGACAAAGCCAGAAGGAAATGTAGTGGCAGATATGACAGTTTTGGTGACAAAGAGAGGGCACAGAAAGTGCACTGGTTGCCACATTAAGTCCAGAAGTACTTTGGAACCAGCTGGTTTTGCCCCCTTGGGTCCAGGCCTCCTTACCTGCCTGCTCACCACTGTGCCTCTCATTGCTCACTGGTTTATAGCACAGTTGATATCCCTCCACAGTGTCATCTGAGAAGAGGCCCCAGCAAACTCTCAGTGAGGTGCCAGTTGCTGCATTTGGAGCCTGGGGATTGATCACAGGGGCACAAGGAGCTGCAGAGGGGAAAACAGGTAAGTTTTTGAATGTATAAGCCTGGTGTATTGTCCTTCTCCTCTCACAAAGGTGTTTGCACAAAGCCTTGGCACTGAATGGGGTCATATTCCTCCCACATGGAGAAAAGTCAGGAGCTGATTCCGTAAACAGTTACAGATAATAATCAGGTTACTGGTGTGTGAGAACTAGTCTTTCTCCACATTAAAATGAAAACAACAAAATAAATAAGCCTCAGCCTACCCCTTCTCTGTAAACTCGACCTCCCCTGCTCTGGGAGCTGGGATTCACCAGTGAGCAACATCTGCCAAGCCTGCACTACTGTGACCCCCCCGGGGGCTTGGAGCCTCTGGAGGGGATGGGGGAAGAGCTGTACAACAGGGGGTCAGCAGCACAAGCAAACAAGTAACAAATGCTGTTTTACTTTAAAGAAAACACAGTATTTGTGCATAAAAACTGCTCTTTCTGACCATTTGTGATGCCCCAGAAAAGATTTTAATTTTTTTAAATTAAAACTGTGTTTTGTTCTGTTTCCTGTTAATAGGAAAAAAATTTGCTGAATAGCAGAGGAACAAGGCACTGAAATCTGGTTATCAAGAGAAGCTGTGCAGGTTATTTAAAGCAGTCTGGTGTTCCTCTCTTTCTTTCAAGCAACTACAAGGTAAGACACATTATCACCAACTAAGCATGCCTGACACCTCAATAGAAGGGGGTAATCTTTGTCAGTCTTCTAGGAAATCATCCAGCAAAAGCAGGGAAGGCCAAACTTAGCAGTTCTGGTAATTTTATACTGAAAACAAATGAAAAAAATAATATCCAAAAATATCTGCCACTGTCTCTGTAAATAGATGCAAACAAAAAACAACCCTGGAATGAAAACTAGGGAGAAGGTAATCCTGCATTTGCTGTTCTCCTTTAAAAGAAGTAATAGATTTCTGTTTAATACATATCCTTAATTAAATGTAAATAGGTCTGAAATAATGATCAGATAGGAAGAGTACCTGGAATAGCATTAATGGAGTTCATGAGTTGTTCAACTTCAGAGAAATCTATGACCCGCTCTTCAAAGTCTGGCAGTGTTGAAAGCTCTAAATTCACTTCTTGCTTTAAGAATTCTTCCAGCCTGTAGTTGCAGGGAAAAAAAATATATTTCTAATTGGAAGTACCATAGTGTTTGAGATACCTATTTATAAGAGAAAAAGAACAGCACACTGCAAATTAACATGTATTTCACTAAAATTTTGTTTTCTTAGTTGTACAAAGCTCAGGCCCCCATGCCTGTTGCTTGGAGATATGTTGGATCAGTGCTCCAAGATGCCAAAGAGAGCTGGATGCTGATGGGACTGAGGGACCTCCTTTGTGTGCCCCCTCATGAGTGAGCTGGCTGCTGCATACTGCACTCCCACTGAGCAGGGGAGTGAGATTTCCCCAACCTCTCTGTGCAAGGTAATCTATTAGCTCCATAATTTTCATTATTTTGAATTTACAACACCTACTAATTCAGGACCTTGTGGCTCTAGGTGTCGTAAATTTGAAAAAAAGGGGTATCTTTTCTCTGTGTTTTCATTAACAATTATAGTCAATTAAAAGAGGTGGGTTTTTTGCAATTATTTTAGTGTTCCTTAAGACTTCTTCCAACTGCTCCAAAATCTTTCAGTATTTGTTTTGAGTTCCCACAGCTCGACTTTCTACCCTGCTATATTGATGCATAAATAAGCCTGTTACTAATCTATTTAGGGAGCTCAGTTTTAGTCCCATTTGTATCCAGAGCATTTCTTTCGAGATCTTTAGCAACCCTGTTTCTCAGTCAGTGAAATTAGTTCCTTATGACTAAGATGAAAACAGTGATTTAACAGAGGCTCTAACTCTCCTTTTGGGTTTCCTGAAATTGGATATGAACTACTTTTGACTGTTATACTTCTTAGAGCAACTTCTCCTGATGCAGTTTAAAACAGAAATACTAAATATTTCAATAGCTCTAGTGGCCTAGACAACATTTGTGTGCCTGAACAAAGTCCAGAACATGCAGGTATCTCTAATAGCCAGTCCATTTAACAGGAAAAAAGGTGACACAAAATCCCAGACTGTGATACTACCTGTCAACCATGGTTACTGCTGCCTGTAGAAAAAGAGAGAGAGAGAGTGTTAAAGATGGAAAAGTCCAGAGTCAGACTGTTGACCTGTCTTACATAAATTGCCCCAAATGCAGCCTTTGGAGTGACATGATTGGCTGCCACCCAGATCTGAGAACGAAGTCATGTCTAACTGTCCATTCAAAGGGACAGATCTGGGCTCAATTTACAGTAGAATAAAGTGCAATATCAGGCAGTGACCTCCCAGTTAGACTCTAGGCTGATTCCTTCCTAAGTTGTCTGAAGTGCAAACAGATTCTTCACCAACAAAACTCAAAAACAGCTGGGGAAACGAACTGAGTGAAATGATCTGCACCAGAGGGAATATGAGCAGTGCACGTAGCTGGAAGACAGATGTACAGTCCCTGGAGAAACCTAAGCAGCTGAGAGCTCGTGACCAACAGGTATTCACTTCTTGGTGAATAATGCTTCTTAGGGATGATGTAAAACTGTTTACAAGCTAAGGAGAAAATAAGGTTATTCCAGGGATTCAAAGGAATGGGAAAAGTCAGCTCATGCGAAGAACTCAGCAAGTTGAAGTGCCATAGCAAACTGATCCACTGGAGCAGACTGGAGGTGTTTAGGAGATTGGTTTGTTGTCCAGTTCATAAGTTACTGTGGCTGTGCTACAGGAATGCTCCCATCCACCTGAGTCACAAGACAGCTCAGGTTAGAGCAATCACTCATCAGCAGTGAAAATTCTCTTTTTTTTCCTCAATTATTTTTCTACCTGCCAAAGCAAAATAACTTCTTGACACCATCTGAAGAGAGGGATGCATCCATCGCTTTGCAGGAGCTCCTGATGTATTTAGTTTGGAGCCTCCTGTTCAGCTGAACTTTCCAAAAAAATGAGGAAGAAAAAGAAACGTTCTCCAAAGTGATTGCATCAGCCTGCCTGCTCTGAGCCCAGAATAGAGCAAGAGAGCTGAGCCTGCAAGAGGCAATGAACACTGTGCTTCCAGAGTTTCCTGAGATAAGCATTCTAGGGAGATGTCTTCCCTCTGAACCCCAGTGTGACTCACGAATCAATGAGCATCCAAATTACAAACTTCTGCTTCTGCATTTTACCCCAGTTGTGTTGCCCTACTAAGTTGATGCCACCATGGCAAGAACCTGGAGCACTGACAGCAGCATGGACTGAGCACCCCGAATGCTCTCCAGAATAAAGCCGCTTGGAACTTCCTGGCTGGGGACTACTTGCAAGCAGCAAAAAGCACTTAGAAGGGGCCTTAACAGTTAAAGCTCTTTACCTTCATAAATTCAGCTTTGTCATTTTCCAGGAAAAGTTCATGGGTTTTGTCTGTCAGTTCCTTGCAGGTGTCGAGAAGTTTCCCAGAACTGACCAGCTGCTCATATAGAGCTTCCAGCTTCTGCCTCTTCTCTTCCCCCAGTGCTTCCAGCTGTTCTTCGTACTTTTGAGCAAGCACTTGTACTGCGTCGTTGTAATGCACCTCAAAGTTCTGCTCCTGCCTTCCAAAATTTTCCTGCAAGGCATTTGGGGGTTTGTATCTTGGCATCAAGCCTGATCCATAGGTCATCCAGAGAAAACTCCAAGTCTGCTTAAAATTCTCCTTACCAGGGAGGCAACGTCACGATTTAATTCACAAAGCCAGGACACAATACCAGTACACAGAAGATGGAATTTGACTAATTTGCATTTTAGGGGAATGCATTCTGATCATTCACTCCACTGAGGTACAAAAGAATGTTGGATTTTGTTCCAGACATAAGAGCAACAGAGTTATAAAAAAAAGTAAGATGCAAGGCAACCTAAGCCCAGGGAGCACAACTAGGTTATATCCTAGCCGTAATCTCACAAGCGTTTCCACCAACAAGCACATCCTTCCATGAGAGAAACCATGGCAACCCAGTGGGATCCATGGATTTGTGCTGGGGGAGCTGAGCAGCTAATGCTGATATCCTCACTTGCTGCTGGAGAAAGCATTAGGAAGGAAGATTTAAGGAGCAGGCAAGGCTTTATTGCCAGCAGCCACCCACTGCTCGGGCACCAATGTCCTCCTGTGCCACATGGAGCAGAGAAAAGACCACAGGTGCCTTGAGTCATTGCTTCAGTTTGACTTGCTGCCAGCTGACCCCCTTCCCCTGGGGCCAAGCTGACAGCAGCCAAGCAGGAGCACAACCCTTGAAGTCATCAGCTTGATGCAGCTGGTCCAGGGGTTTGCCTGTGTCTGACACTTCTGTGAATGAAACCGAGGGAACACAAGGGGTGCAGTCAGGATGGACTAGCTAGATCACAGGTCTCTGGCCATTTAAAACTAAGATAACCTGAGACGGGAGGGGGGGCACTTCATTTCTGAATGCAAATTTCTATGCAAATGCTAAATATGGTTTCATTAGTCCACATAAAGAATTCATTAGGATTAGTTTTTCTGAGTACTTCAATCTAGGCGAATCCTGAGGTAACTCTGTGCTCTGTTACTATAATTACTCAGTTCATCAACAACTGAACACTATGAGTGTCAATATGACTGTCAAAATTGTTTAACACCAGTACCATAAAGTTAGCCCAAGAAAAAATGCCTTACCTCTACAGTGAGGAAGATTTCCTCCAAATGGCTGGCAACATTTTCCATCTGAGCAATCTGTTCTTCTAACTTGCACATGTTTTTATGAATCTCTTCCTACAAAACACCCAGTGTGATTCTTATTATGTCTGAACAGTGGTTTAGAGGCACCCCAGTACACCTGTATTACTCTCACCTTTTCACTTTCCAAGGCATTGGGCAGTTGAGTCACCTCATGATCCTTGTGCTCACCAAATAGTTTGTCAAAAGCTCGGATTGGTATCTTGCAGGTAGAACAAAAAACATTCGCCACTTCCTCCTCTTCCTCCTCCTGCTCCTCACTGACAGCCTGACTGTTCCACTCATCTGACATGCCGCCACTGCTAAGCCCCTCTCTGGACCATATGTTGCTCTCAACCTCATCATCTGCTCTGGTTTTGCTCTGATCTTCATCTTGAGAAGCCTCGCCAGGAAGTCCTTGTTGCTTTGTGCTTTGACTTTGATCTTTCACTGAAGTGCTGCTTTTTGATGCGTTATTTGTGGAGCCTTGTGATCCTGCTTTTTTTGTGCGAGCAGGTGGCCATCTGCTCTCCATCTCCACACGTCCTTCAAGAAGCTCAAGCTCTTTTTCTTTATCCTCATCAAGTCCATACATCTTAGCCAGCTCTGCAACCTCCTTTTCCATGTCGTAGCCAATTTCTTGTGAGCACTGAACTTTTTCACTACTCAATACAGATTCTCGTCTTGTATCCCCCAGAGATCTGTCTTCTCGACCAGACAGCTCTTCAGGAAAGATATCAAACCTCTCCTTTGATCCATAAAGATCCATGTGATAAAATATCAAACCTTCAGACTCAGTCTCACTAGACTCTGGGACTGGTGGGGAAGCTGAATGGCCACGTGACTGGCTACTAGTTTCATACTCTCTTGCGCTGCCAGATCTGGATGACATTGGTATCCTCAGCAAGGCTTTTGAGATGTCGAGTCTCAATCTTGTAAAAGATAAGAAAGATCTTTAGCTACATACTTAGATATAAAGCATGAGTTTTTCTTGCTTAAAAATATGTAGATGGAATAGATTTGGCTGAGGACTGCCCAGGTCCTGGAGGTAGGCATGGGAAAGACCACAGCCAGTAGCTTCACTTCCTGAGTGAAGCTTCTGAAGGGAAGCCATGGGAGGCTTATTTTTTTCTCACCTCTGTGCAAAGCACAGCAAAGAGCTGTCTCTGGTGTGCATCCTGTTTTCTGAGTGACTCATCTGTTACCCTCATGCCTGATTTTCAAACTATGGACTAGCCCTGTCCTGAGCTCAACACTACTGCTGTGCTTCAGGCACAGTTAGTGCTGTTCTGTGCAATTGGAAATGGCCTGGTTTGAAGTCTGCTCACCCTTCAGCTGCTGTCAAGAGTGTTTTCTGAACTGTCAGTCAGGCATAATGTAGAACGTCCTCTCTTGTGACCAGTGATGCCACATAACACACTAGAAAATGCCCTGAAAAATCCTGTTCTGGATTTTTCAAGTTGCTATTCTTAATACTGAAACTTGAGTCCAGGTCTTGGGTCCTTTCTTTAAAATACTGCAGGGAAAACATAGTGCCTTTTGGGGGTGTTCACAGTTCTCAGGTGCTGTGAAAAATATATATTTTAACATAAAAGAAGCTTAGAAAAAATATCAATGATGGTCTCCATTATAAAGCACACAATAACCAGGGAGCAAGTCAGGTCATTGACCTGTGAGCTGAGAAATGTCTGCTCTGACACGGACCTTGCACATTTTGTCCATTCTGTGC